GTGGTGAAACCCAAGCGCGGCCGTGGCTGAGGCCCTGGAGAAAACAGAAAGCCTGCAGGGCAGGTTTCTCCGCGTGCGTGGTTTGGATCAGCCATAAGGATGGGGCAAGCTGGCCTCTGGTGCCTGTTTCTCCCTGTTGGCATTGCTGCCCTTGCTTCCCCCCCTCCCCGTTCGATCGATCGGGGTACAGCAGGGCTACCAGGCCTTGGCCAGGGCAGCGTTCTCACATCGGTGCCACCCTAGTGGGGGTCAAATTCTGCGTGACCTTGCCTCTTGTCCTCTGTTGATGCTGTAGCGATGCGTCAAAGCTGGTCTGTCCCACTTAAGAGAAATCTGAGGAAATAATGTCTTCCAGGAATCGTGAGATAAGTGTGAGATAATCTTGATTCTGGTATGGACTTTGCCTTTAGCACTGGAATAAGGCTATAACTTTCCTTTGTTGTGTAGGAGAGACTGGTTAATGTTTCTAAAACTACTGAAAACGTGTGTTTAAGTCCACAGCTGCAGAAGCCTAATTTCCCACAAAGATGTCACCATTGCAGTAAGTTGTCAGAGAAAACTAATCCAGTTCTCCTTTGTGTTTTTTTATGGATTATTTAAAAATCTCCCCTTTTAAGTGAAGCTAATATCCCTGTGTTTGCTGCTCGCTGAGCATGCCACATGCCCCCTCTTTCAAGAGACCTGTAAACTGAAATTATCTGTACAGTCTCCAATTCACAGCCTTAAATTTGCTGTCACTTCCTGAAATCAAACCAGAGTTGTCTCTTTCCATTCCTAGCCCCCTCTCCCAACACTCCCAGCCCTGTTTAATACTATGCCTAACCCACTCATCATGTCATTTGCAAGTATCATTTCACTTGAAACGTCTTTTCTGTTATTTCTCAATAACTGTACTTTGACAAGTCTCCTGATCTTTAAATGTCACCCTAATTCTTGCCTGGGCAGTTGTTACACATACTTAAGTGAGATTTCTTCTGTATTGCAAACAAATAACAAACCAGTAACCATTGCTACCATGTCAACTTTTGAAAAATATTTAAGCTCCCTCATAGCTACACTGTTTCTCTGATGTTTTGCTTATCATCTACAGTTAGAGGTGAGTTCTCTGGGTATGGGACCGTCACTCCTCTTTCCTGTAAAATAACTGTCATGTTTTAGGGCTATTAAAATATTTCATATACATCATCCTATGGTTCCAAACTGTTTTACTGATAGTAGTTGATTAATTCACATCACTTGCCCAAGCATCGCAGAACCACCCAGCATTCGTAACTGAAGAAATAATTACTTGGAATTAAGTCATTCTGGAGTGATAAATGTATACAATCCATGTATGTAGATCATGGATGTACATGGATATATATATACACATGGATCATATATACATTATACCATCCAAGGCAATATACTAGGAAATAAAGATGAAAACAGATAGCAAGTAGATTTCTCATATTACACTGCACAGGTAGAGGGCCTTTTAATCAATGTATGTGCAGTTTGGAAAAACTTAATTTTATTTTTTCAAATGTCCCTTTCTCTAGCTTACCCACCAAGCTAGTCACCTTGTTGGAGAAGACAATTGGTTCAGTCAGGTGTGATTTCCCGTTCATAAATCTATGTTGACTACTCACAATCACCTTCTTGTCCTTCATGCGTTTGGAGACGATTTCCAGGAGGATTTTCTCCAACACCTTTCTCTAACACCTTTCCAGGGACCGAGGTGAGGCTCACCGGCCAGTAGTTCTCCAGATCTTCCTTCTTGCACTTCTTGAAGATAGGAGTGATGCTTGCTGTTATCCATCTTCAGGAACCTCTCCCAGTCAGCACTGTGTTTCAATTGAGAGTGGTCTTGCAATGGCTCCTGCAGCTCCCTCAGCACCCACGTACGCAACCTGTCGGGCCCCGTGGACTTAGGTATTTCCAGTTCGTTTAAGTGCTCCGTAACCTGGTCCTCCTCCACTGAGGGCAAGTCTTCCTTGCTCCAGTCTTTCCGGCTGGTCTTGGTGGCCTGAGACTGCTGAAGCCCAGTATGCATGAACTACTGAAATTGTCCTCGGGACAAATAACAATTAAAAAAGACTTTCAAGCGTAGCAGCTGAAGCACTTAAATAGCAGGTGGAAGTTCAAACCCCACAAGCATAGGCAAGGGGTAACTGTCAGTGTTACACTCTAACAGAATCACAGAATGGTAGGGGTTGGAAGGGACCTCTGTGGGTCATCTAATCCAACCCTCCTGCCGAAGCAGAGTCACCTGCAGTAGGCATGAGATAAAATGAGAAACACTTCCTCCTCCAACCATCTGGTGAATACAGTCTTTGTTATCCTATTTTTCCTAATATGTGAAATAAAGCCTTTTATTTGGGTCAGTTGAAACACGTGTCAACTGAAACATGTTGTGTCAACTGAAACTTATATATATATATACACACACAGATTTCCATCTGAATGAAAAAAATCCAAACAGAGTATTATATGTATTTCATCTAAGGCTTTTCTTCGGATCAAAGTTAAATTATATGAACACACACACATCCGTCCCACCAGATACCATTTCATGCCAAAGCAGTGCACCATACGGCGGGTCGGGTCAAAGCAGCAGCATTTGACGTGCTTCCACAGAGCAGCAAGGCCACACGGCACTGTGAACCAGGCAGCTTAAGACAAGCGACAACAAGAGAGATGCAGATGCTGAAGGCACAAGCCTTATTTTCAGGGTGTGAGAGCTGATGCATCTAGGCTAACCAGTTGTTTCACAGCAGCCAGTTAACTAGTGTTTGTGTTTGCATAGCGAGTCAAGGTGAGCAATGTTGCTACTTCTCCTTCACCAGGGGAAGGACAGAGGCTGAAATATACACATTCAAAGTATCAACTGATTTTGGGCGTACCCCTTTTGGCCTCCTTTTCAGCTGGTATATGGGGAAAATCTCATGTTTCTCTTGCATTTAATTTATTTGTAGTGGAGCTTTCACTGATGTCAAGTGCAGCTGTAAGTGCTCCATGCTTTGACAAATCTGCACTCAGTTACCTTGAGGCAGACAGCAGAAGGAAGAATAAAATCATTGACTAGCTGTAGAAAAAAGATATTTACATCATCTCCTGTAACCACACAGAAATTATGTTATATAAGGAGTGTATTCTAGTCCTGAAAAGGAATTTCAGCCACTTTTACAAGATTATCTTTTCTCCTTTTCCAGACTCTTGCATCATTCACAGCCTCCTGTTTGTTCGTTATCATCCACACCATGCATTGATGAAGCAGGAGTCTTGCCGAAGGCCATTATTGTAAGTCAGGCTTATTAAAATGAACATGCATAAGAAGGGAAAGTTAAAGGAATCCAGGCAGTTTTTATTCTATGGTGTCCTAATTTTTTAGTCCTTTTCTTGGCACATACAATATCTTTGAAGGTGACTGCCAATCATAGCAAATATTGTAGCCAAGACAATGTATAGGAGCTTGACTGCCTATCACTTGTACCTGAGAAGCTAGCCAGGTAGTGGTAGTTCATGCAAAAGGTGCCAAATGTAGCCCTTTATTCAGAATATACTCAGTGACCTTCCCCTCAGTACCTTTCTTTTGGCATTCATACATTACTATATCCCAGGGCGGGAGCGCAGAGAACAGCTTCCTTCCACCCCTTTTCCTCTGCATTACATGGTTATGCATCCCGTTGTGAGCTCTTTGCTGTAGGTCTCAACACCGCAAGACCACAATCCCCGACTGGGACCTCCGTAGGCTACGCTAACGCAAAGTTCTAGTGTATTACGTGTGAGAGAGATCATTCAGGTCCATCCGCAATTCACAGCAAGTTAATGCCACCGGACTCCTCGCAGGAGACGTGCAGACAGCGCATCTAACTATGGTCTGTTGTAACAACTCAGCTCCAGTTTTTGGTTTGGAGCCACCAGGCTTTTCCCAGTTTTTGGCTGACTTAAATGAACAATATGGACCATGAGAGTGATGAGGAAAAATCTCATTATGTAAATTTACAAAATACCAAACTACACAACTAAACTGTACCTGTGACTGCAGCCAAGGACTTTTCCTGGACACGGTGCAATTGCATTCCAGCTTTAGCAAAGCCTTTAAGAGTAAATACCGGCAGTTTTACATTGTTCCGAAAGAGGGTGCTAAAACATAGTAGTTATTACAAAAAACAGCAAAGATGCACAGTTGCTCAACTCAGTACTTTCTCCAACGTAATTTTATTGTGGCTTAGTTTTTATTTTATGTGCTCGCAGCTGGCAATTTAACACAAGTTTTAGTTTTAGCTTGATCTGTACCGATGTATTACATAGTTTCAAAAATGAAAAGCATGGAAAAAATGACATTACAAAACCATAGCAGAGAGAAACCAGAGGGCAAGCTTTCAAATCTGTTTTGATAAATTACAAAGTCCTTCTGCTTTAGCCTGGTTACTCAGATTTGATTCAACACAGTTTTATTACTGACAGTTCTTAAGCACTCACTGAGAGGTAGCAAAAATTCTGTCACATTGACCTTGTAACTTGCCGTGGTGTCACCAGCAGAACCAAGATCTTTAGGTACATAACCATTGTCCTGTGCCAATAAAATTAGAAAAAGAATGGATAACAGAAGAAGGATAACTTCTTTCACAGATGCTACTGACAGGACAACTTAGTGAAATGGGCAGGTCCTGAGTTTAAATTCCAAGTTTCAGAGGAGATCGTGATCAAGAGCAGTGATTGGCAATGGGAGACATGGCTCATTTCACTTTTCTTTCCCAAAGCAAAACGTTATCCTACTGATTGAAATAGCAGGACCTGAGAGTTGCCGACAGTTGGCTGATCAGTGATGCCTTGCCCAGCTTTTTTCCTGCAGAGCTGAAAACCCAGTGGGACCTGGCAGCCCCAAAGTCACTGAGGCTCAAAGGTGATTCTCCTAAGACCCAGAGATACCCAAAACCTGACTGCACACAGCCCTGGGCAACCAGCTGTAGGCGGGCCTCCTTGAGCAGGTGGGTTGGACCAGATGACCTCCAGAGGTCCCTGCCAGCCAGCCAGCCAGTGATTCTCTAAGTTAGGTAGCTTGTGATGAGGTACAACCTGCAACAGTCCCTACACCAGCAGGACCCAAGCTAACTCCCTGCGGTGTTTCACCGTGAAGAGTAGTTGCTGTGTAACAGCATCGCCCCACAATTAAGTCCTGTTTTAATTGCCTCCGCTTGCTCTTGTTGTCTCCAGGGAATTTCAGCTGGAGCTAAGCGATTCTGTTTGTCCATGTGTTGACTTATTTTTCTGCCCTTCCTGTCAGCACGACACGCTCTTCAGCAGCCACTCAAAGCTAACGCGCCTGGCAGAGGTCTGCTGTGCGCAGTGCCTGGGATCCAGCTAGATGCATGGCATCGCCCTTCGTACGAAACAGATGAATCCAAATCCTGCCACAGCCTTTAAATCTCCAAATTCAGCTCATTAGATAGGTGTTAAAAATATCTGTAATACTATTACAGCTTCTTTTAGATGCCACCAGAATCCTATTTGCTTCCTGTATGTGACTTCATTGGAGACTTTAGATAAAAAATAAAATTGCTACTATAGAAGGAAACAGTATTAATATGATGTGTCAGGTACAAGGAACTCAAGAAATCAGAAATGTTAACGTCTTTACCAAACCTGAACCTACGTTTCCTTTCCATTTTAGACAAAGAAAAGCAAGAATAAAGAAAAAAAATATTTTCTATTACCATGTTCTTAAGTCTGGATTTGGCTTGACAAACTCACTCCAGCCTGTTTGGACTAGAAAGAAATTGGAATAAAAACTGTGAGGCTGAAGCATTCCGTGGCACTGAGTCACTGCCATGATACTCAGTCAGCTACCAAACTGCTCCTTGCTCTACAGCATCTAAAGAGTAACCTCTTGGGTGGGGAGGACAATTTTCTGCTTAGGGAACAGCTTCTCTGGGGACAGAATGGATACCAAGAAGTATTTCTCTTCAAGATTTCAAGATGGTCTGCAGTAACACAGAAAGAATGAAACAGATAACCTATCAAAAAGATGGACTGGAGGAAAGGCTGGCAGGTCACCCTCGGGAATCACGGCCGTTCAGTGCAGACCAACACGCCGGAGTCTGGAAGCTCCCACAAACAAGTCCGCACCTACGGAAGAGGGTTAGAAGTGACGTGAGGACACGCTTCCACGTGAAGCTTCTGGCAGGACCATTTCTGGGCAGGCAGCCCTGGGAACATTCCCACAGCCTTTGGAGTACCTCCACGCCTACGTCCCAGAGAAAGCGAGGGGTGAAGCACTGCGTGGAGCCTAGCAGGGAGGAAGCCTCCAGGTTGAGAACATCAGCGCTGCGTTCTGGGCAGATAACAGCCCGTCTGTACATCAAGTGGACTTTAATTTGTGAAGATGATACCCGTCCTGCCGCACGCAGGGTCCCCTTCACTTATTTCCGCCACCGAAACTGGGAAAGACGGTTCTCTGAGCTCTGGTCAGCAAAACTCTGAGCAGCCAGAACCGAGAGCGCAGCAACAGGAGCACGTGCATGGACATGTCAGTTTTGACAGGTTTTCATGTAGAAAATAAAATTGAAATAAAGATATTTGAGATTTTTAAGAAAGATGATATTTAAGATTTCTAAGATATTGAAGATTTTTAGAAAATTATTTTGATTTCATGTGCCAAAGACTGTTTTATTAAAAACAGGAAGAGAAGGACAGCATTTTCAGGAAGTTTTGACGGTTTAAACAAATGTTTTCGAGGCGATACAACGCTTTGTTAGCGTCGAGAACAAAAGAAACAGTTCTGAAGGCGTCAAGTTGTGCGCTTGTTCCCCCGAGCACAAAGCCCCTCCCGTTCCCTGCCCCTTCCCCGGCCGATACGGGC